CTACAATCAGGAGTTTGGGCTTAATTACTCCGAGACATTCAGTCCTGTTATTCGGCAGGAAACCATTCGCCTGGTACTGTCACTCGCCGTGCGCAACAATTGGGCTCATCAATCAGTTGGATGTTTCCAATGCTTTTCTTCGTGGCATGCTTGATGAAACTATCTACATGATGCAACCACCGAGCTATGTTGATCCCCGCTTCCCTCAACATGTTTGCAAACTCCAGAAGTCTATGTATGGGCTCAAGCAAGCCCCCCGTGCTTGGTACACACGTCTGAACACGTTCCTCTAGGGACTCGGCTTCACGTGTTGTGTACACGACACGAGTCTGTTTACTCGACATTCAGCACACGGTGCAATCATTCTTCTTGTCTATGTAGATGATATCATTCTTACAGGATCTACTGTAGCTCTCATTTAGGATGTCACTCGAGCTATGCATACTACCTTCAAAATGAAGGACCTTGGCCCGTTACATTATTTTCTGGGAATGGAAGTTTCTCGGACAGGCAGTGGCTTGTTTCTTCATCAGTCAAAATATGCTCGAGATTTGTTGCAGAAAGCTGGACTGGAAAAATGCACCAGTCAACCAACACCGATGGCAGTCTCTTCGTCTACGAATGGAGCCGACACCCCCTTTGCCGATATAACCACTTCCGCAGCCTCATTGGGGATCTACAGTATCTGGCCATTACCCATCCTGACATCCAGTTTACTGTCAACCGAGTTGCTCAGCGCATGCATCAACCAAGTGAACATGATTACCATTGTCTAAAATGCATTCTCAGGTACATTTTTGGCACTCTTGGTCGTTGTTTACTCATTCGACCCGGGGACTTGGAGCTTCAGGGGTTCTCAGATTCAGATTGGGCGAATGATAAAAATGACAGAAAATCTACATCGGGGTTTCTCGTTTTTTGGGGCCAAACCTGATCTCCTGGTGTACAAAAAAATAACCCAAGGTCTCTCGGTCCTCGACTGAAGCTGAATACCGCGCCCTTGCTCTTCTCGCCGCTGAGACCATGTGGGTCACATATATTCTTCGCGAACTCCGCGCCACTCACACTGTTCCTGCTCTCTATTGTGACAACAAATCAACCATCTGTGTGGCTAAGAATCCCGTCCTACACACCAGAATGAAGCATGTTGATACCGTTTGTCTCTTTGTTCGCGATGAAGTTCAGGCCGACACCATGACTGTGCAGTATGTACCCACTGAAAAACAACCGGCTGATATTCTCACCAAGCCTCTCCCGTGACGACAGCACGATTACCTCAGTTCCAAGCTTCCGTTCGCTTCCGCTCAG